TCATTAGTCTTTATAGTGTACCATAACATAATTTTTTCATTTGACAGAAAAGTAATTCATATTTAAAAAGGGGATCAAAGATGAGTGTATGGTAATGACAGTGTTTACCTGACTTATGGCTAACATTTTAGAATGAAATTGGTAAGCTCTCTATTTGTATCTGTTCGTTTATATGTTTTTACATACAAATAAATGTATGTGTTCTGTATGGGATATTTGTCTAAATCTACATTATATTACTATGTTAATTTATAAAATCTTGTAGAGGTAATTTATTCATATTGGCCTAGTGATAAATGAATATTGATATGAATTAAATATCCATGGAGTTCCCAGAAATACAAAACTTAACCCAATATTTAAAGTTCCTATGACTTTGGTAAATCTTTGGTAAATATATTTAATATTGTCAGTGTAGTAAAAATGGACATTTTTTTCCCTGGGTTAACAGTATTAAATATAAAATGGACATACATTTTTATCTGACTTGACTTTACTAGCCAAGGAAACTTGTTTTATATCTACTAGATCTTAAAAATTATAAAAATTATGAGTGCAATCTAAAAATAAGGGGGTTGGGGAGATGGCTTAATAGAATAAGCACTTCCCTGGCAAGCTCAAGGACCTGAGTTCAATCCCCAGTTCCACCAAAAAAAAAAAAAAGTTATCAAATCTAAAAATAAGTGTACAAGTAAAGATATAACAAAAATTAATTGCATTATAGTCATTACTGTATATGAAACAATACAACAGAAGTCCATGTGTTTGTGTTAGGGGTTTTTGCTTTTATGATCCTTGCCAAATGTGCATGTGTTATAAAAATGGTTAATGGAGAAATGCCTTAGGATGATGACTAGGTTTGTTTAATATTATAATATATCTGCCTAGAAAGTTCCTGTATTTTCTTATAACTGGCAACCTTTGGCCTGTGCTACAGTAAACTAAGTAACAGATATCTGTGAAAAACCTAGGTGAGTTCTAAATAATGTATGTAGATTATTGAAACCCTCATTACAGAATGTAAATTTGTGTTTACATACTTTGGCTTCTTATGAAGAAGCTAAGAATACTTG